CAAAAAGAAATATTGCTAATATTTTGTGTTTATAATTATGATAAAACAATCCCTGAATGTGTTTTTAAAAAGTGCTCAAATTGCTGAAGAACTAAAAATAAAACCCACGGCATCACTATTCATTCGTAAGTACGTACTATAAAATATATTTTTTCATAAAAATTGTTGTTTGTTTGGAATCTTATTCGGTAGTAACGTCAAGTACTGGTCGCCTGATTGGTCGGTAATACAGTGACGTGGATCTCGCCGTCTCGTTTGCGCTGCCGTTGAAACTTAACGTGTTGTTTCGTTCGGGTCGGTAATGCTGTGACGCGGATCTCGCCGTCCCGTTCGCGCTGCCGTGGGATCAGTTTTTGTTTGATGAAAGTATGAGCGTACCGTATCTACCCTTTTTGTTTTAATCTAAGCATAAAACCCCCTAAAAAGGTAGCACAACGTATCATGACAATATCTTCAAAGTCTAACAAAAACACTCAAAAAATTAAAGCTACTTGGCCAAACTGAATGAAATTTTCACGGGATTAAATGGCAACTATTCTGCATTGGACAAAAAAGGAATTATGAAAATCGGATCAGAATTCATGTGTACATACATTAAAAATATCATACAGACCAAAATGAGCACCTCTTTGAAGTCAGTTAAAAAATGCACGTGCTTTTGTACGGTAGAAAATGCTAAAATGAGGAGATAAAATTCACTTAGGTATATGAATATATTTTCAATTTCTTTATTAGTAAATCATGAGTAAAACATTATTTACGTACAGGGAGATTTGAAGTTCATAAAAAGATAATGCTTATCTTTTTATGAATTATTATAAACGTTATTAATCAGATATGAATTTTCTGAAACGCCATCATCAGACTCGTCATCTATTACTATAGTAAAAGTAAGGTTATGTCTATTATATGACACAGGTGACCGTTTTTATTCAAAAAAAAAATATGCCTTTTTATTCTACATCACATGAAATATTTTGTATTTATAAAGTGTGCTATCATTTTTTAAATTTGGAAAAATATCTATAATGTAAAGTTTTACTAGAAAAAAATCCACGCGGACCAGGCAGCGGACAAAGTATTCATTTGAAATTGTGGGTTACCTCCAATGCGAAGAGATGGCGTTGCCTTGCAGCTTACGGCTAGGAAAATTTCGACGCGGCCATGAGGGCATTGGTTGCATAATTGGTCAGTGCATTCGCCCGGATTGCGAAGGGTGCGGGTTCGAGTCCCTTCCGCTGCCTGGTCCGCGTGGATATAGTAAAACTGACATTTGCATGTGTCATTTTTGTCTCCGAGCATGGAGGTGAGAGAAGGAGGACGATTGCTACGTACCAAAGCATTAGCCCGTCTGTCCCTGAAAAATTATATAATATGTATGAAAAATTATAGTTAATTGTTCAGCCACCAGCCGGGCTGCCGTCGGTAAGTAGTATCTGTGAAGTTAGCTGTTTATGAGTACAAGTAGATGAAGTCAGTTAAATAATGTTCATATTTTCTTAGCGGCATTGGTTATTTCAAATTAGCCCGCTTTTATTGAGACAACTTAGCGATCGCAGCGCTTCACTTATTTTGTCCATATTTCTGGGACACTATTTTCTACAGCGATCGTTCTCCTTCTCTCTAATTTCCATGTCTCCTAGATTAAAAAACAGACTATAGAACATTTAACATCGACGCCGCACAAATCACTTTACTCGAGTTCGTCCGTCGTTCAGATGAGACAAGTAATGAAAATTATGCAAATGAAAATTCTTCGTATACAATATATGTGTTTTAAACATCTAGCAGTTAAATCCTTACAGCTGCATGTGTTTTATTTAAGCTTTTTGTCAAAAAAAACTTTTTTTTGGGGCCGGCCGTCCGGCCGTTGGGACCCAAAAGTCCGGCTTTTTGGAGGGTAAGTTCAGTTTTTCTGATTTTTAGAGAGTTGACAAAGCTACCCCAAGTAAGTGAAACAAAATGAGTTACCTGCCCCCTCGGCTACGGTAATATTATCTATACAGTATTGTGACTGGGCCCTGTCCTTGAAATAACTAGCTATAGTCCAGTCGGAATAAACATGAGACCTATTCTAAGAAACCAGCGCTTAGCCAATTTTTTCCTAGATAGTATAGACCCCCACGAATATGCCCTCCATTTGTCCCCGCTAGAACCCGTGTTTTGTAGCCAGGAAAATTGTTTAAACAAAAAAAAACTGTATTTTTGAGTTTTTTTGCTTGTAAACGGGGATTTTGTAATTTTTTTTGAATCAAAGTTGTTCATTAGCTTGCCCTCTACAAAATCAGTTCTATGAAAAAATAACGTGAGATTGTTAGTTTAGCAGTAAATTGCAATTATGTCGGTTTTACGTTTGCAACAATTCAACATGTTATAATAAACATTTTGATTTCTAAAGTAGTTTATCATGTGGGTAACGCCACTCCCAAGAGAGTCATGTAAAATTTATCGACCTGTGTCGCAAACTTTAGCAACAATTCTCAATCTCCGAAAAAAAAGTACTTGCCTGTCCCGTCTTTCCCAGAAGGCGCACAGCGGGGAAAAAAATTCAGGTGATTCGATTCACCAAGAATTTTGAGGAATCGATCGAGTAGAAAAAAAATCGTTAGTAAAAATGTTGGTTTTTGGACGATTTAAATTTTTTAAAAAAATTGACGTTGAGTATTTTTTTTTTAAACTAATGTATTTTTCTCTCCTCAGCTCGAATATACGATTGAAAATTTAAAAAAATCAGTTTATTTATGTACAGAAATTATTTACAAAACTATTAACTAAAATTCGATTACAAGACTGCGTTGTATTCTATATTTCTAATTAAATTAATTTCGTCCTTTTTTCTTCCGGTTCATAATCGGAATTCTCAGGGTATATTAGTATTATATATATATTATATATATATATATATTATATATATATATATATTATATATATATATTATATATATATATATATATTCAGAATAGTATATTCGAGTTGAGGAGAGAAAAATACATTAGTTTAAAAAAAAAATATTATTCTACGTCAATTTTTAAAAAAAATTTAAATCGTCCAAAAACGAACATTTTTACTAACGATTTTTTTTCTACTCGATCGATTCCTCAAAATTCTTGGTGAATCGAATCACCTGAATTTTTTTTCCCGCTGTGCGCCTTCTGGGAAAGACGGGACAGGCAAGTACTTTTTTTTCGGAGATTGAGAATTGTTGCTAAAGTTTGCGACACAGGTCGATAAATTTTACATGACTCTCTTGGGAGTGGCGTTACCCACATGATAAACTACTTTAGAAATCAAAATGTTTATTATAACATGTTGAATTGTTGCAAACGTAAAACCGACATAATTGCAATTTACTGCTAAACTAACAATCTCACGTTATTTTTTCATAGAACTGATTTTGTAGAGGGCAAGCTAATGAACAACTTTGATTCAAAAAAATTTACAAAATCCCCGTTTACAAGCAAAAAAACTCAAAAAAAAACGGTTTTTCTTTGTTTAAACAATTTTCCTGGCTACAAAACACGGGTTCTAGCGGGGACAAATGGAGGGCATATTCGTGGGAGTCTATACTACCTAGGAAAAAATTGGCTAAGCGCTGGTGTCTTAGAATAGAAGTCGGTCCAAATTATGGCTATTCCGACTGGACTACTACGGCCGAGCGGAGCTGATCCACGAGGTAGGGCTGCCCGCCTACAGTATATTAATTTCATCTACATAATTGAGTTTCTTTCTAGTTTTGTGATTGTAAATATTTTATCTTGACGTTATAAGTTGATAGTAAAACTCAAAAGTTAATTTTATTCTTCTTAGAGAATTTTATTTTATTTCATATAAATTTAATGGAGCATCGGAGCTTAACTCGCATTCGTTATCTCCTTTCATTAGTCCTTTCATTTGATATCCATATTGTTTAAGTGCAATGAAAATAACTAGTCCGCCATCTTGGATGTTCCGCCATGTTGGATGTAGAACGACGTCACACAGCTAACAGTGCTTTTTAATCAAAACGTTTTTAATCAAAAAGGACATTGCTCGTTCCCCATACATTGAATGCCCTAGAACGCACAGTTATTAGAAAATGCTAGTTGTGTTCGGAATCATTCATAAAGTCTAATTAGGCATTTGTTGAGATACGGACAACTTGAGGAACTGTGGCCTACTACAGAATGTATTAGATTTTGAGGTTATAATTATTATACTTAATCGTAAAAGATGTACTACTTCTTTTACGACTACTTTATATATTCTGAATAGATTTAGTGTTAACCTCTATGTAAGCACTTAAATAATATGCATTAAATGAACATTAAATGCAATTAATAATAAATGCTTATATTCATATTGATTTATGAGTGTTGGCAGTTGGCACCTATGTTACCTATACCTACCTATATGGGATGGGAGTATAAACTATCTTTGTAATAATAGATTTCTAATGAAATGTTCAGTCTTTCCGTTTATCTGTTTCTATATTTTACTACCGGTAATTAGGTTTGTACCTGGTTATCATTAAGATTTTCATAAAAATAAACAGATATTACCTATATGGGATGGGAGTATAAGCTATCTTTACATAATTTCAGAAATAATCTTTTTATAAAAAAATATAATATAAATACTAGTGATAAGTATTATTAACTAAGGATTAAATAGGGTACCTAGTTACGTCTGTTGACTCAACCGGAACGTCAAGTCATCATGACATGCCTGGCGATGTTGATCCCACCATAACCCGGAGTCAGCATAACATTTTCTAAAAGCCAGACGCTGAATCGACAGACGGAAAGTGATAAGCTCAACTCGGGCTGTCAACAACATGTTCTCTTAGCCTTTGTAAATAAGTTCATAGTTAGTCTTAAGCTGGCAGTTGGAACAAATAAACGTCTCCATTAAAAATAAATTGTATAAATAAGTTGTATATATTACTGTCATTTGTGATAGTAACTGTGCTATATTATAAGAAGATATTATTATAATTTTTAGTTTTACCGTTTTATCGAAAAATGGATAGAATTGAAAAAATACCCCGAGAAATTTCTAACATTATTCCCATGTTTGACGGAGATGAAAAATTACTTAATTTGTTTATTAGAAAGTGTGAATATGTTATTGCGTGTTGCCGCATAGAAGGAAATCAAGACCAAGATCTATACGTTTTTCACGTAATCACTTCTCGATTATCAGGTAGAGCGGCTAATCTTATTAGCGAGCGTCAAGATTTAGATACATGGCCGACATTAAAAATAGCTTTAGAACAACATTTCGGTGATCCACGATCGGAAGAGTGCATAGCAATAGAATTAGAAACTATGAAAATTAACAGTGGCGAATCATATCTTGATTTTTGCAATAGAGTACAGTACGTTAAAAGTACATTGATCGCTAAAGTTAACATGATTGATGATGCTAGTTTACGCCAAAGTAAAACGACAATTTATGATAATATGTCAATAAATGTGTTTTTATATAACCTACCGGAAGATCTTATTCGTATTATAAGGTTAAAAGGATGTAACTCATTGGAAAAGGCGCTTAGTATTGTGCTTGAGGAAGTTAATTTCCTATACCAGTATAATTCAAAAAATAAAATGATGAAATCACAAAATTTTCTCAGACAAGACCGCAGTTTATGAACCATAATCCATTTGTCGATAAATTTGGAATGAAGCCTTTCTTTACTCCAACACACGTACAACCACAACAACAATTTAAATTTGGTGTCACTTCACAAAATAATAACCCTAATAATTTTAATAATCAGCAACAAAAAAAACCTAAATTCAAGTTCGGTATTCCACAAAGCAAACAGATTAAATTGCCTGTTTCACAGCCACAACAATTTGGCTATAAACCGCAGTTACCTCAACAACAATTTGGATATAAACCTCAATTTAACCAAGGTCAAAATCAGATAGGCTATCGACCCGAGTTCAATCAGAACCAGAATCAATTAGGTTATAAGCCGAATTTTAACCAGGTTCCACAGCAATTTGGTTATCGACCAAATTTCAATTCAGGTCAGCAACAGTTTGGCTACCGACCACCTGTACAAAGACTACCACCACAGCTATCAACGGACGTAAGTATGCGTACGGCTCCTCCTGCGAAACCTCAAGGATTCCGTATGAATGAACTTTATAATCTTAGTGAATCGGAAATCGTAGAGCCTGATTGTGTGTACAACGATTGCGATTATGATAATATGTGTACTAACGAAAATAACGATATTCCAGAACACTCATTAGTTTCAGAGTGTGTAATTGACTCAAATACTAATGATTCTTTCCCAAGTGTTGAAAATTTTCACATGGGTATCTCCAAATCGGAACCCGAAATAATAAATCGTAATTGTAACATATTAAAATTACCTTACGTAAATATTCCTTAGATAAATGCAAAACTAACGGTAGACACAGGAAGTGAAAGGTCTGTCATTAGTCCACGAAAAGCAAATGAATATTTTAATAATTATAAACAGTATGAACCTTTTAAAGTCATCAGCACACATGCCTCCAGCAAGCATGATGAAGTTATTATAATACCGCTATTTCCAACATTTAATAATCCTGGAACACACAAATTTTACGTATATGACGTAGACGGTCGTTATGATGGGCTTATAGGAAGCGATCTTCTGAAACAATTAGGTGCTAAAATTGACATGAAAAATCAAATTCTTTTTACAAATTCATCGTCTATCTCTATTGTATATAACCCTACTTACGAAATAAAATTAGCTCCGCGCTGTGAACAAAGAGTTAGGTTACAAACTAATTTAGAAAACGGAGAAGCTATAATGAACTTTAAATTATTTTGTGAAGGTGTGCGAATGCCAGACGCACTAGTAACTTGTAAAAATGGTTATGCAACTACAGTAATACAAAATACATTAACAGACAAAATGACGTTAACAATTGCGAGCCCCTTTATTGTCACCAAATATAAAAGCGAAGAGTGTGAACTAAATAAACTAGATCGCGAAAATAATTTGGACATTGATCAGATACTGACGGACAATATGAACAAACTCCGCTTAGATCACATGAACACCGAAGAGAAAGAACTTATATCCAAACTTTGGCTAGAATATAAAGACATATTTCACTCAGATAAATTACCCTTGACTTTTACCAATGAGGTAAAGCACCATATTCGAACACGTAATGAAGACCCCATCTATGTACGCCCCTATAGACAACCACAGGTTATTAACGAAGAAATCAACAAACAGGTAAATAAGATGCTAGAAAATAATATTGTAACACATTCTCACTCGCCTTGGAGCGCCCCCGTTCATCTGGTTCCAAAGAAACTTGATGCTAGCAATGAAAAGAAGTATCGTTTAGTAGTTGACTATAGACGACTCAACGAAATCACAATAGATGACAAATACCCACTTCCAAACATAACAGACCTATTTGACAAACTAGGAAGCAGCTGTTACTTCTCTACCCTTGACTTAGCGAGTGGCTACCACTAGATTGAGGTAGCAGAGGCAGACAGACAAAAAACAGCATTCACCACGAGCTCAGGACATTACGAATTTACCCGTATGCCGTTTGGGCTGAAAATAGCACCAGGGACGTTTCAAAGGGCAATTGACAATGTTTTGCACGGCCTACAGGGATTACACTGCCTAGTATATCTTGATGATATAATTATATATTCATCCAGTTTACAAGATCACCTGACTAAATTACGAACGTATTTGACCGACTGAGACAGACTAACTTGAAAATCCAATTAGAGAGAGAGAGAATCATTTTTATTGAGCACATTAATAAATTTACATAACAACATACAAAAAAAATATGAAAATATACAATGGAGAAAAGAAAATAAAAATCACCATTTGTGGTCAATCAGGACCCTGCCTCAGCGTAATGCTGCCGCAACACGCTACAAAACATGTCACAGCAGCGCTAGTATTCTGGCAGTGCCTGCTATGCCGGAACTTTACATGGCCAATCGCATCTGCCTCGATAGCAGTCCCTCTCACTGCCCGTTGTGGATACACATCTACCAAATAGCAAACACGATTAGCCACATGACGTGCCGGCACAAGGTGCGAAAGAATACACTATCTGTAATCTGCGCTCCGTGATCTGTGGCTGTCACTTGATAATTAATGTTACTGTCGTCACACATACCGCACAAAAACAGTGAAATTGAGTGTACAAACTCAGTAATTGCTCAGCAAATTGAATGGAAAAGGGAAGCAGCTATATAATCCCGTCAGAAACGTGCACCCCAATCACACGATTACCATGAAGAACCCCCGCGGCCGCTTATCACCCGAATAAGTTTGCCTCCAGGTAAGTACCGAATCTAATCCCCATAACTTACTGTCGAGATTGAAAATTGAGTGAGTATCTTTAAATTAATGCGTACATTGCAAATTCAGCAAATGACGTTTTAAGGTAGTCTTCAATGATTGTTTGGATTTCAGATCTCGCATCGGCGGAGGAAGATCATTCCAGCACCTGAAGGCAGCGAACCTGAAAGACCCATGGAAAGCAGCAATGTGGTGTGTGGGGGTGGAGAAGACTCGAGTGCACCGCCTCTTTTGGTGTTTACTGTCGAGTTGTGCCCATACCAATTTAACTGACAGGTATTGTGGCTTGCCTGTGTGTATGATGCCAAACATTAAGGTAGTGAGGTGCCTCGCCTACGGCTCTCTATCTTCAGCATGTTAGCTGAATTCAAAAATGAGGTGACATGTGTTCGTGGTGGTATGCCAAAACAGAAGCGCGCGCGCGCATTTTGAACACGCTGAATAAGCCGTGCTGTTTTGGCCAGTAAACATGGACCATAGACTGTGTCACAGTAATTGAATTTGGACACAATCAATGCCTCACATAGTGTTATTCTGAGTTTTTCAGATAGATATTGTTTTATCCTGTACAGCAACTTCAGTCTATAAAAGCAGTTACGTGCGCACTCTACAATAAAATTTTCAAAGTTTAACTAGCTATCCAGAGTCAGACCTTGACTCTTTGCTGCATTTACCCTCTCTACAAGCGCTCCATCCATTTCAATATTCAGCAGGCTAGTATTGATCTTATTGATGTTGTTTCTAGTACCTGTGAGCAAAAGTTTAGCTTTATGTGGGTTCAGTACTAGACAATTTGAACGACACCATTTTGATATTATTGTGAGATCTCCATTCACTCTTTCCACAGCCTCAGTGACGTTGGATGGCTTAAAAGAGTAAAAAAGTTGTATGTCTAACTAGATAAATCCGAGTTCCTTAGAAAATAAGTTTTATATTTAGGACACAAAATTACAAGTGATGGTTTGAAACCCAATGATGACAAAATTAAAGCCGTTATAAAATACCCTTTGCCTCGTACAACTACAGAAATAAAGAGCTTTCTAGGACTCATCGGTTATTAGCGACAAACCTGTTGCGTATGCTAGCCGTTCACTTAACGATGCTGAGACTCGGTACAGTGTAACCGAAAAGGAATTACTCGCCATAGTTTGGGCAGTAAAACACTTCCGCCCTTACCTCTATGGTAAGAAATTCACCATCGTGACTGACCACAAGCCTCTTGCTTGGCTAAACACCCTGAAGGAAACAAACAGTAGACTTACCCGTTGGCGCTTACGACTATCTGAATATAACTTTGATATTGTTCATAAAAGTGGTAAACACTGAAACTCTGAAATCACTGAAACTGTACAAGTTCAAACCAATTCCACATTACAGTTAAATAGCAACCTTATAAAATTAAACAAAGAAATTGTAGATGTAGCTAAAAATTTAAGTAAAGAATTATGGAAAGAACACTTTGAAGTACAGATTATAAATACATATAATATACTACTCCACAAGTTTCAGGTAATACATACTAAACTAAATGAAATTGAGACTAGTTTCGCGCTAAGTAGATTAGGTATATTACATCAGTCTGTTATAGAATCTAACAAACTTTTAAAAGCTTCAGAAGACGTCAATAAAATAGAAAAGTTAGTGTATACCCCTAGCATAGCAAATTTAGTAAAGATAGAACAAAGCACTACAATAAAAGTCTATTTTAAGGAAAGTCAAATTACTTATCTTCTGGAAATACCGTTAATTGAACAAGACACTTATATCTATTATAAATTGATCCCCATACCTGTTTTATCCCGTAAATCCACCGTCGTTATTATACCCAAATATCCTTACCTTCTGGTGAAAAGGTCGAAGATCAGACTGCTGGACCGACCATGCCGAGAAATCGACGAGCACAGCTTCCTCTGCCCCAGTGATGTAACTCACCAATTCGCTCAGGATCCCTGCATTAATGACCTGATAACATATGTTGAGAACCAGTCATCATAGAAAAGAAAAAAAAGTTCAGTTCCTGCAACCCAACAGATGGATTCTCTACAGTAAGAATTGCTTTCCAGTAACTGCATTGGAGAAATATCCCGGCAAAAGGTTCGAGGTACATTCATACTCACCCTGGACGATCCATGTGAAGTAAAAATTTCAGACATAACCCTGAAAATGCATCAGATAAATACAGAAAATATAACGTATGTGAAATTACCGATAACGAACTTACCTGCAGTTACTTGCCTGATGAAAAACCAGCTGCAGAACCCCTGGACCTGAAAGGCGTTGACCTAGAAGACTTGAAAC